GAACAAAGAATAATACTCTCTTGATTATTAGTATAAATATCTAAATAATACTGTTGTGGTGGCCAGGGTGGTAGTCCGTGGGATGTGGAGTACAGTGGGTCAAGAGTCCTCATACATATAAAGAATACCACTCACTTTTCAAATTCTTTAGCTATAAGCAACAATGAAGCATTCTTTCTCTTCTTTTCAATTTTGAACCCTTTGGACAGATTTAAGACAGGTTTTTCATCTTGTTTTTGTGCTCATATAGCCTTAGTTTGCTGTCCTCATCTGCACAGGCACGCTTGGATTGTACAAGCCCTTGCTCATTGCTTCGGCAGCTATTTGTTCCTTTTTCTTTCGAGGGCAACAGCGCCCTAGTTCTGGTTCAATGATGCAGTGAGTGTGGATTTAGCTGTTCAGGCTGGTAGCTTAGAGCTGTTTGCATTACAGTTTGTGAGAATCAGTAAGAGCAGCAAGTTTATTCTATGGATGAGCGCACTCTTTTTCCCTGCTAAGCTCTTTTATTTCCTTTATCTATCATGCTTATATAACAGGCTGTACATCATATCTGAACTCTGGATCATATCTGAGATCTCTTGTAGAAAGGAGATAGGTGGATAGAGGAGAAGTGATATGAGTTCTGATTATAAGCTAATGAACAATGCATTAAGCTTGCAAGCTAATATTATAAAGAAACGAATTTCTTTTTCCAATATTTCCTATATTAATTAATAATTCTATATAGAAGCTGATATAGCTTAAATCTATATAAGCTGCAGCGGAAAGTTTAATTATATTGAATATAAGTTCATAATTAAATTATAGAGTGAAATGCTTTTGATAAATAGTATTCTGCAAAGAAAAGTAATATAATTAATAAGATCTGTATTTCTTATAATAATTTAATTAATATACTCTATCTGAATATATTTAGCCACATTGATTTTTTGAATCAAAAGCTTGCTAATTACATTATTTCAAAAGCGAAGAATATAAGGAGATAAAGATAAGAAATTATTAGTATATACAAAGAATAGAGATTAAGAATTATAATAATATTATCCAATATCAAACTTTAATCAATATCTTATACCTAATTAGAAATATTTTCATTAATTAGCAGAACTATTAATAAAGAAAATCCCAATATAATATAGAATAGCTAATTCAATTCCTTATTATTCATTACAAGATAGATCTTATATATGCTTTACTTACAGATTGAATCTCTCTTAAGCATCTGAATCCTCTCGATCTCTACAGTATTGTTTTCTGTAGAATACGGAAAGTATTCCAGCTATAGCATTCTTAATTCAAGGATTTCGAACTAGAAAAGCAAAGAAATATTAGAGGAAGCAATAATCAAGAGGGAAAATAGCTTCTATATCTGAGAGCTCTTTCAATCAGATACTCAGTTCAGCTAATTACTTAGCTAACAATTATTATAATTAGAACTTCAGATTCCCCTTCTACAGTAAGCTTGCTAATGATGGATTGATATTATTTGCTTGTATGGAAATTTCCTTGTAGCTGAAGCAATTCGACTGGTGATATTAGATTAAAGGGATTGATAATATTCAAGTACTCAACTTTATGAAAAGCTTCTATGCAGATATAATTATTGCTGAAGAAGTGAAGAGATTTATTACAAGCGCTAAAACTTGAAATGAATAGAAGAAGCAACTATTAGTTGCTTATTGCTCTTAGAACTATCTCTAAGCATATATTTCTAAGCAGAAGCGCCTGAATATTATTAACAACTATTTCATTATTAATGCTGCTAGCTTCTGATTGTTTATTGTAAACTATAACAATACTCTTATTTGTTTTAAGATCAGAGATAATCAATCTGTAGCAGAAGCATGGATAAAGCTCTCTTTAATCTGAATTAAGCGCTTTTGAGCTAATTATAATATTACTGCTAAAAGCATTAGCAACAAGAAGTAGCCTTATCTTATGGAAAAGCTGTTGAAGGTTTATTATGAAGTACTTCAGGAGGAGATTCAAGATCAACTTGCCTTTGGTGCTACTAATCTTTAACTTCATCAATAAGCTCAATTCCAAGATTCTTCTATGCTTTTACCTTAGCTAATCCTTAACTAGATACAGCTTATTCCTATTCTATATTCGATATATAATGCTCCTAGTTAATTAATGAATCTATTGGAATAAGCAGTAAGGCTATTATATTATTAACTGCTTTAATAGTTAACTTATAATTAGCAAGCTCAGCCTGAACTAACTAAGCAGATCTTGAAAGCTGAATTTGCTTAGAAGAGCAACTAAGAATACAACCAGTTAGCTTCAATAATGAAACAATTCCGCATTAACCAAATTGCAATAGCAAAATCCTTAAAGCTGCAAACTAATGCTTTCAAATAGATACAAGATATCTTATATAATCAAACTAAAGCTCTACAGAAGATCTTACAACTAATCAAGCATTCCCAAACTATTTCTGCAAGAAATTCTTTCTAGAGGAATGCAAATTCCTTGCAAATGGATGTTATTTATACAAATTTGAAGGATAAGAAAGAGCAGTACTCTGAAGTATGGCGAGCAGAGATTAATGAAATCCTGAAGAAGAATGAAACTCTATACAAGTACTATAGCTATAGATTAAAGTTTCATAGAGCTTATAAGTGCATGAAACTCCATACTATTATAAATTGTAGCATTTGCTATGCTTTAGCATTAGCAAAGCTAGAGTAGCATCTTAGCAATTGCTTGAAGTTTCTAGATTCTAGATCAAAATCAGTATTATATAGCTAGATTATATTTGCTCGAGATAATCCCAAAGACAGTATAATTCATCTAATTCTTAATCTCTGTAAGGATTAGCAGCTAAAGAGTATTAAGAATTCTTGAATCTCTTGATATATTAGCTTAGTTTAAGAGAATAAGAAATAGTATGGAGATTCTAAGATAGCTAAGAATAAGATATTATAAGAAGAAACTAATCTCATTCTCAGATATAATAATCAGTATAGAACTAATAATATTGAGATTCTTAGTAATGCTGGTAAGATTCAAGTAGGGAAGTTATATCTTACTTTAGCTCAAGCTGAACTGTATCTACTAAAGCTTTCCAGCATTAATACTGTGAGTATTGAGCCTGTTCAAGCTTAGATAAATACAGATAAAGCAAAGAAGCGCTGTATTAGGAAAGCTGGATATGATGATAGTAAGATTGGAAGAGATGCAAGTATGAGAACTGTTAAAGTTTCTATACATTTCGGGAATATTGAACTAGAGGAATTCAACAAGCAATTCAATAATCTAAATAGAGAGCTAATAGTTCAGGCTATTAGTAATAAGCTTCTAAATCAGTTTCTAGATTATCTATTGAAGATTTCAAGCTGAGAAATGATAGTTATATTACTAGAATGAGAAGCTTGTCTGATTCATAGTCTTTAAGAAATCAGCTCTGAAGCTTGAAAAGTTGTTAATCTTAATAATCAAACTAGCTTGGATCTGCACAAGGTAGATACTGCTAAATCAGCTAATTCATTATAGTATAAATCTGGAATCTTAATGCTTTTCTAGCTTGAAAAGCTTATTAATAATCAGATTATTAATACTTGAGATATTACTAAGTATCTTTCGAAACTAGCTCAATTACCTGCAGTTCAAGCTTTATTTCTTATTGCTGAATCTAGCTATATTAAGCTTACTGTTAACATGATTCGAGCCTTTAACAAATCTTCATTTCCTTCTATAATAGCTTTCATAACTGCTCTCAGCAGTATTCGAGATAGGAGTATTGCTTCGGTAGCATACATCTCTCTGCAGCTGAGAGATAAAGAGAATGAATCTGTATAAGTAATGCTGAATATAGATGCTGAAATAAGCTTAATAGCTTTCTCTCTGTATTCGAGCATGCGCTTATCTTATATACTAATATCGAATATTATTTTATATATATACAATGAATTAGATATAATGCTTATTAGAATTCTTGAAACTAATGTTTTCTATAGCAGCTTCTCTGAATAAATGATATTCTATATTATTAATAACAGATTGATATCGCTAAATCATCCTATACTATTAGAAATGCTATTTGTAATATAAACTAAGCTTTCCTTTGATTACTCTATCTCCGGATTTCTCTGTATAAGCTTCGCCTTTGGAGAAGTATAACTGATTATTATAATTAGCAATCAGAAACTCCTTAAAGGGAAGAGTTTATACAAAACTATACCAAAAAACTGAGTGCTAGCAGCTACTCTGAGGAATGCAGAGCTATCAACGGAGAAATTATCTCAGAATGAATATTGTTAAAGAAGGGAGATATAGCTATAATGTTTATATCTGAATAAGATATTGTAGCTATTGTAAATGAGTTAATGATAAAACTGATAAGAAGAAAGTTGAAGAAGAGTTATTCTATAGTGAATAAGAAAGGAGCGATCTGAAAGTCTTGCTTATATAGAATGCACAGCAGCTAGTGCTATTCATACTAGCTATATTGTATGAGGAAGGAAAGAAAAGATGTTTTAAGCTTGATTAATATTCTTTATAAGCTCAAAGATAAGAAGATTAAGCTAATTAATAATTTCCAGCTTAATAGTTTAGTACTAAAAGAAATAATTGAATGAAAGCTTGCTAAGATTAAAAAGATAAGATAAGCTTAGTAATCTACAAAGCTTACTAAGTATAATAAGTAAATTGAATCCAAGTTCAGCGATCTAAATTCTAATTAGCGCTTAAGATCTGATTAGTAAGCTGCTATACAAGAGAAAAACTATAAAGGATTTTCTGAAGCTAAAAAGGAAATATTCAAATACATATTAAGAAACAGAATCAAAGCTCTTGCATGAAACTTTACTAAGATTGGAAAGATTATTGAGAAAATAGCTTTCTTGCAAGAAATCAGAACTGTATTCTACAAGATCTTTCAAGCAAAGTACATTCCAATCTCCAATACTCTCAAGCTAAAGCTAATAAAGCTTTTGAAACAATGTATTAAGCAGGAAATTATTAAGAAAAGCTATACATTATACAGAAATAACTAGTTTCTTATTATCAAAAAGGATAATAGCTTACATCTGATCAATAATGCTCAAAAGTATAATAAGTACAGCTTCAAGAATGCTTTCATACTGCCTGCCTCAGATGAATTCTTGGAAGAGTTTGTTATATGCAAGATTCTTTTACTGCTTGATTTCTTTTTCGAGTACAATTAAGTATAACTACATTCTAATAGCAGAGATATAATAATCTTCTTAATGCTCTTAAGCTTATTCAGAATATATACTCTACTTTAAAGTGCTATTAATTCTGTTGCTCAGTTTATAAGAATAATAATTAGATTTCTGTATAATTTTATTCCTTATATATGCTAGCTTTTTCTTAATAACATTTCTGTTTGTAATTCTATAATAATCTATAGGAATGAAGAGATTCCAAGCCTTCTCGGAATGCATAGATATATTGCTAAGCATATCAGAAATCTTAATAAGATTCTTGTAAATGCAGAGCTAGCTAGAGCTACGATCTCAGCATTTAAGTTAGAATAGTGCTGAGTGAAAGTTAATATAGTTGATTATATTATTAGTTCTAGCGGATGATAATCTTAGAATAGGAAGATGGAAAAGCTTCTAGCCTGAATAGAATGCAAGAATATTAAAGATATTCGCTTTTTTATTAAACTGATTATTTATTATGCAGCTTGGATTTGGAACTTTACAATTATTATCTAACTATTCTATAATCTTCTCAAGAAAGATATTGCATAGAGATAGAAGAAGGAACAGAAAGAAGCTATTGCTATACTTATCCGAATACTTATATCTCATTCAATTATTATTTCAATTAATTATAGCACTAATACTGAAGAAATTATTCTTATAATAAATGCAAGCTTATTAAGCTAGAGCGCTGTACTGATACAGATAGTAGAGAATAAACGAAAGCTAATATATTTTGTTAGCGGAATCTGAATAGTTGCAGCATAGAAATATAATGCTACTAAAAGGAAGTATTGCGCTATTCTCTGTGCTTTACAGTCTCTTTAGCAATATCTCTATAGTTGCTATTTCATTCTGGAAACCAATGCTTGCATTCTAATAGATTAATTCAATAGAGAAATGAATAATATATTCAGTGCTCTTCTGAATAGATAGATAGCAGTAATCAAGATATTTAACTTTACTATTAAATACATTTCTGGATTAAAGAATCCTATAGCTAATACTCTTTCTCAATCTTCATACTCAATACTACTTAAGAAAGATAAAGATAGCAATATTAAGAACTAGTATAATGCTCAGCTTAATAGCATGAATTCAGATAAAGCTAATCTAGTACTACTGCTAAATCCAACTCTTTAGTAGATGGAATAATTGAAACAGTATACAGAGTTCTTATGCTATGAAATTATTTCATCAAAACTCTCCAAGAGGGATTGTAAGAACTTTATAATAAAAGCATTAAAACATTAAATATTTGATTAAACTCTGTAGCGCTATACTAGTATAAAACTTCTATGCTGATAAGTAGTAGATAATTCTAATCTTTATTGCTGAATTATTAGAGAATGTTATACTAAGTTTGAATATCGAGATCGAAACTTTATAGTAGCTTATATTAAGCAATTCTACTATTGAAGAGATCTCTGAATAGATATAGCTAATATTATTTCGAATTGCAAGAAGTATACAAAATTCGATTCAAAGATATAAAAGGAAGAAGTAATTCCAATCCTTTCAAGTTAACTCTTTATAAGAATCAGCATTAATATTCAATATATAGCTGAGAATAGCGATTATAGATATCTTGCAGAAGCTTGCTATAATCTGATTAGCTATATACTTGCAAAACTTTTCAAGAAAGCTATAGCTGCAGAAATAAGAAAGTTTATTTTGAAAGAGATTATTCTTATATTCAGATGCTCTCTCAAAATTACTATTAATAGAAAACCAGAAAACAAAGCTGAGATAGCTAAGATTATCAGAGCTCTTGGAATCCTGCTTATTCAGATCTTTAGTTACAATCTCCATACTTAAGAATAAGTAGAAATTAATTATCTTTTCTTAACAAGTACTCTTGCTAAGCTAGCTAATGCTTAATTCTGAAGATGGAAGCAGTACTTGAGACTTATACTCTTCGCTGAAAAAACTACAATCTGCTAGTTGTATGAATACAGCTTCTTCTATTTGATTTTCAGTTGAAAGCTGCTTATTCCAATTGAAACTAAAATTCCAATATAGAGAGTTTTTATATAAACTGAAAACTAATTCTCTTAGAAAGCATTTGAAATGTAGTTAAGAATGATTGCAGCTAAGAAAGATGATATGTAGAAGATAATTGAAGCTGTTCAGATATATTATTAAAAGATTGTAGCTAAAAGTTAAATATAGAGTCTGATATGAAAATCTTAACTGAGTATTGGAAATCTTATGCTTATTTATAATCATATTCGGAAAATGAGCTACTTATGCAATGCTAAGATCTCTTATAAATGAAAGAATTCATATCTAATTGCTTAAATTCTAAATAAATATGCTTATAAGCTTAAGACTACAAACAGAGTTCTGCTAAAAAGCATATATTCAGCTACTAATCTCAAAAAGTTTATATAGAATATGAATAGCATTTGAGAATCCGAGATGCTTATACTTTAAAAAGAAAATATTAAGCTTTAATCTAGCTAATTATTAGCAGAAAAGCTGAATTCAATAAGAGCTTTCTAGCAAAAGGAATTAGATAATAATATCTTTGAAGTTTAGAAAGCAGATTTAAGCAATAATGCTACATTCTGAGTTTCAAATATTATTAAGCATAACTCTATGCTTAGCTAGACTAGTTCTAATTCAGAGATTATTAATCTAGCAACTGAAGCGGATGATGATACTAAGAATAGAAATAGAATTAGTAATAATAAATATTTTATATAAGCAGCAAAGAAGGAAAGGCGAGAATAAGAGAAAGCAGATAAAAGTAGAATGTTTATACTAATTCCAACTAAATCAGCATTTCTAGCTTATAGAGAAGATTGATTTCTTTCTATTTATATTTCCTTTTTGTTTGCAAAATACATTTTCTTTTCATTTTTTCTATTTCATCTCGTATATTTTGCTGAAGAAGAAGGGATAAAGTATCATCTGCTACTACTCATTACAGAATACTGTAAACCTACCTAAAAATTTCAAAGCATTCAGCATAGAGCATGTTGATTAGCTCTAAAGCTATTTTCATTATTCAAAAATTGCAGTATATTGAAATGCAATACATGAAAAATGCAGAGCGCTAAAGAAATACTGCAATCTATAAAAACTCTTTACTTTTATATATTATTCTCATTATTAGAATATCTGTAAATATTATTCAATAGCTCTCTTCTTATCTTATTCAGATTTATATTATCTATATTATCTGCTAAAGAATTGTTATCAAAAATAGAGAAAGAATCTTGAAACTAAACAAACTTAGCTTATTTCTTAATACAAGATTCTACTACAGCTTTGCTCTTGCTTTTATTCTTGCTGCAAGATATAGATTGTAAAGCTGCTTGCTCAGATTCAGATACTCTCTTCTTAGAAGCAGAAGAAGCAATACTCTTCTTATTAATCTATATAGATAAAGTTAGCAATAATCTTCTTGAGTATTATAATCATAATTAATTATAAAACTTATAATATTCTATAAATATTACTTCCTTAATACAAGAGGAATTTATTTAATTTAATTATATATAATATCTTTATTCTGTATAAGCTTATATTAAGCTTTAATAATATGCTTAATATTAGTATTAGAATTGATTTAAGAATCTATTTCAATTATATATTGAAAGCTAAATTAATAAAACAAATGCTAATGCTGCAAGAAGAATAATAATTAGTATATACTCAAATCTGATTAAAAATATTAGAATAGGAATCTTATTCGTATACTGCACTTTTTGATACAAGGAAAGTTTTTGGTATAGTTATATTCAGATTCTGCATAATAAATGCAGTTGCTATACTTTCTATTGAAGAAGCTTTCTATTGAAATGCATTCTAAGAAAAGCTAGTTAATATTAATCTGCTATTCCTATACAAGTATATAAGCAGTAGCATACTAATGAAAGCAGCAATTGCAAGGGATTAGATTATGCTGATTATAGAACTGAACAAGGAGGGAATTTACTCGCTTAGAGCAGGAGAAGATGCAGGTAAGATATTCGCTAAAGAGCTTTCAATCAGCTTTACATACTACAATAGAATTCAGTTTGATAGAATTCTTATTATTCAGCTTTGCGAAATAAGCAGCAAAGTTAGAGCTTAGCAGTAAGTTGTTCTAAAACATAATATCGCCTTGAATATTCCAAGAAGCATATATCAAGCTAAGATCTCTCTTAATAGTATTGAAGTTTATAATATTAAGAAAATTAATATGGATATTCTTAAGCTAGTAATAATTGCTGCTCTGAGAAGAAGAAACTGAAGAAGAAAACCAGATTCAAATCTTATTAATCTCTTGAGAAGCAGTATTTATCTGCAAAGAGAAAATAGCGTTAGTAATGATTCGAGATATCTTGAGTATATTGCAGAGCTGAGCAAGAAAAGGTTGATAGAAGGAGAAGTTGTTATATGAAAAATGAATTGAAAAGCAAGATGAACTAAGAAAGAGGTTATTAAATAGTTTGCTAAAGATTAATAAGATAGCAATGGATAACAAATATACTCAACTGAGTTACTATGCTTTCTATTCAGTCTGTTGCTGAATAGCTTCTACTTAGCTAAGAGTGAAGCTGTTTGCTTTGTAATAAACAGAAAGCAGTGAATTACTTGAGTAGTTGCTAGATAAGATAAATTAGCTATTTTATCTATACTTGCAGCTAGCTATTCTTCTTTCTTCTTCAACTTCTTTACAACTATCTTTCTCGAGCATATATACATTCTTTTTCTTTCTTATTAACGCTGCTTCAGATCTATATACTAACATTAGAGCAAATTATTAACTGCTCTGCTTATATAATATTATCTTTCTTAACAGATTCTTAAGCTAAAACTATATTCTTTTCTATCTTTCTTTCTTAATCAATACTCTTTCAATCTCTTGATTTTACATTTTTGCAAATCTCTCTTGCAATTGCTCACCTTCCAACAAAGCTGTTCTTTTCTTTTTACTTTCCTTTCAATTCAGCAGCAATAGCCAAATTCAAGTACTTTCTATTCCTATCTATTCAGCATAGCTAAGAGAACTGAATAACCAAAGCTTACTGCTTTCAGACTATCTTTCCTAGAGCGCTATACTCAACTGAAGTAATCAAGAATCGTTCGTTCTACTTTAGTCTAAGAGATGAAGAAAATTATCTAGCAGCAGAACTCGTTGAGAAGTACTTCTCAGAATTACCTCCTTGCAAGTTGTACTTGCTTACAATCTTTAGCGCTAATTCTTTCAAATATCTTCTTAATATCTATAATCTGATTAGATTCTTAAATACAAGAGTTTCTCAAGATATTAGTCTGCAGTATGCTATAGCTGCTTTTCGTTATTATGCTTAGTATAATCAATAAGATATATTCTTGATGGAATATCTTCGTATTCCATTAATAGCTTATCTATCTAGCTCTTCTAATATTCTTAATAAGCAGGATCTGCTTAGATATAAAGCTAGATAGAAGCATTTATGAGTTCTCCTTTCAATTAATACAGCGATTTCAGCTTATACTCTGTTTTAGCTTAATATAAAGACTGAAAAAGGATTTTACATTGCTATATACAAATCCGATGATATTCTACTAGCTTATATAAGCAAGCACTATCTGAATAATTAGCTTAAGAGTGCTGAAGCTAATTAGAATTAGGATTTTGAGAATATTTCAATTATGCTGCTGAATAATAATTTGAATGCAGCTCTGCTCTATACAATCGAACTATTTCGCCTTCGAATCCTGGAATCTACTGATTTCTACTAATCATCTAGTAGCTGTTCAGACTGAAAGCAAGCTCTTTATCTTAATTATAGAGAGATTATACAAAATGTAGAAGAATAGAATGCGGAGATAGCTATGATAAGTCTGCACTGCTAAGCTTTCTTTTATAAGCTGAAATACAGCAACTATATGCAATATCCTAATCAGCCATTAAGAAGAAGTGCTTTACTTCAAGAATACAAGGCTGTACAAGTAAAAGCTGATGGGATACTAAATATAACTTATAAGCTGAATATTATCTTCTTTATAAGAAGAATTGCAGACTTGCTTGAACTATTTATTGAAAGCAATCTCGATAGGATAAGAAGAAACATATCAGCTTTTGCTCTAAAGAATTTCAGAGCGAATAGAGCATCTAGCTTAGTTTCATCAAAACAACAGTTCTGAGAGAGTACAGCTCTAGCTAGCTTAATCTTGCATTTATTAAGAAAATATAGTATTAGCTCAGAATTAAATCAATTCTCATTCAGAACTTCTACTGATTCTTACTTCTCTTTATCTCGAGAAATGCTTATTGATTCAGAACTGATAATCAACCTATCAATGCAGCAAACAGCTAAGCCTGGATGTATTACTGAAGCCCTATTGCATCAGAGACTGAGAAGCAGCAACATCATGCCTTCCAGTTTTCCTAATAAACCTCAGAAGCCTCATATGCTTCTATAAAATAAGCTTTATAGCCTTAACTCTATCAGACTTTCAGTAGATTCTCCGAATTAAATAGAATTCGATCATGCTATTAAAATGAATATATATAAAGCGGACTGCAAAAGGATCCATCGAGTAAGAATACAGAATCAGGAAAGAACTGCTGCTGCTACTACTGCTCAAGCAGAGTTTGAAAGCAGATGGAAACAGAGAAGAGATTAGCATTAGAATCTATTCAGATCATACTCATATTATAAATAAACTGAAAATGAATACTAATACTTCTGCATTAATTTGAATAATAGCTTAAATAATAGAAAGAAATATGAGAGTTGAATTGGAAGAATAGTTTGGTTTGCAGTATTTTCTTTAGCAGTTTGCAATGAATTCTTTATTTCTTTACTTTATCTTTCTCTGATCAAATCTAGCACACCATTGAACTTGTTGCAACTTTGGAAGAAAGTTGCTGAGAGAGAACTGTTGTAGTAGCTAGAGTGGTAGTTCATGGAATGTAGAGTACAGTGAATCAAGGGTTCTTATATATATAAAGAATATCACTTACTTTTCAAATTCTTTAGCTATAAGCAATAATGAAGTATTCTTTCTCTTCTTTTCAATTTTGAATTCTTTGGATAGGTCTAAGATAGGTTTTTCACTCTGTTCTTGTGCTCGTATGGCCTTAGTTTGCTGTTCTCATCTGCACAGGCACGCTTGGGTTGCACGAGCTCTTGCTCATTGCTTCGGCAGCTGTTTGTCCCTTTTTCTTTCGAGAGCAACGGCGCCCTAGTTCTGGTTCAATACCGAAAACGCTTCTCAGATAATGGAAAGATTAAGCTAGAATAAACAATCTAATAATTTACTAGAGTTTTCCATGAATAATAAACTCAAGAAGCTTATAGAAAGATTTCTCTTTAGCATTAAACAATATAAGTTGAATATCTTATTTATAAAATAGAATTAGAGAAGCTCTTTACCTACATTCTCTTACAAGATATCAAAGCATAATAAAACGAAGATCCTCAGATTAATTCACTTTATAATCTACATTATGAACTAGCTTGAATCTCCTACACTTATTATAGCTACAGAATACATTTCTCAGATAAGATGCAATACGAATAGTTCTCTGCCAGAGAATTAGAACAAATCTGTAATGAGCACTGCAGCAATCCGAAGATTCCTAAGTATACGAAGAGGTTTATGCTAACAAGAGCGATATCAAAATGTTAAATCCTTGAATACAGAACTATACAAGTCCTAATAAGCAATGCAAGTGTTCACTGCCTTTGGAGCTACTCAGTATATGAAACTGAATACTTAGATTGACAACTGAAGAGCTATATACAATAATCTGTCTAATGGTAATAAATGTATGGTTATATATTCAGCTCTTCAATGTAGCTCGCTAATGCCTACTGGAGCTCACTGCTGTTCAGTGGTGCTCACTGAGGCTTGGTAAGCACAGATGAGTTCTTCTGATTGGTTAGCTTGTAACTTTAACTCTGGATTATGTAATCCTTGTAGATTATCTGATATTGAGTTATAACATCTAGTTCTTATTTGCTTATGATCTGTTTTCGTAACTTGCATGTTGGATGAGTTATAACATCATCTTTCTTCTATCAGTTGTTATTCTCAACGATTTTCTGTAAGTATCCAATAAGTTTTCTTGTAATGAGCACTGCAGCAATCCGAAGATTCCTAAGTACACGAAGGGGTTTATGCTAACAAGAGCGGTATCAAAGTATTAAGTCCTTGAATACGGAACCGTACAAGTCCTAATAAGCAATGCAAGTATTCACTGCCTTTGAAGCTACTCAGTATATGAAACTGAATACTTAGATTAACAACTGAAGAGCTATATACTGAATCCATCTAATGATAATGAATGTATTCTTATATATCCAGCTCTTTAGTTCTAACTAATCTGACTATATTACAATTCCTCATAGTTATTTCTCTGAATATGTTAACTATGTTCATAATTAACATAGTTGCGCTAGCAACTCTAACCTGAATTATATCATTCTGATTAGTATTCAACATTGGATTGTAATATCTGATTCCTTAATTAGTAAAGCTTATTCTGTAATTTGTATATTGAATGAGTCATAATATCATCTCTCTTCTATTAGTTATTATTCTTAACAATCTTCTGTAAATATTCTAACAAGTTCTTCATATGCATGATCTTGCCTTTCTGATTGAGATATTGAATAGAATTAATAAATTCTGTATTTGCAAATCTTCTTCCGTTCCCAAGAGTATCCAAGATCGAGATTTCTTGATTTCCTGCTTCTTGGAAAATTTTATTAAGATGCTCATCTATTCCTATTGCAAGAATTGTGATTTCAGATTTTGCAAGATATTTTCTGGAGATTCTTCTCGTTATATCGAATGCATTTAACTGAGCTATTCCAAGTGCAACGTTATAAGCTTTTTTTCCGAGAAGCTTTGCAATATTACTATTCAATATTGAAAGTTAGAAAATGAGATTGAAAAAAGGGAGATTAAGCTTCTTTGTTTGTATTAATAGAAGCGGATATAGTTTGAAAAGATGAAATATGCTCTGCATTGTAGTATTACTTGCATGAAGGAATTGAATCATATGAAAGCTAAGAAGGCTGAAGCGGAAAGGATATATATTGCTGCTGAAGTGCAGGCTGTAGTAGCAGAGAAGTCTGCTGTTGTAACTGGGGATTCTTCCTTTGAAGGTTTCGATTGGAATTCTGTAGATTTGGGAGATTCTGTAGTAGATTGGTTAGGCTTTCTGAAGAGTGAGATTTCCGAAGCTTCTGGATTTCGGTTTGGAGCAGAGCGATTGTTTTAGATACTAGCTTTCTTTCTTTTCTAATACTCAGCTATTCTTTCTTAAGCATTCTCAACGTTCTTCTGCAGTTCCTAAGAATTTTCGCTTGCTAAATAGCTTTTTCATTTGATAAGATATTCTCTTGTGCTATTTATGCTTCTATGCTTAAGAATTTTTTTCATCTCATACTTTGATTCGTTATTTTCTACTTCTGCTGTATTATCCGCTAATATTTCCTATACTGCTAGTTCTAGTAGTAAGATATGGAAAACTGAATATATTCTCATTCTATAAGATAATGCTAACTCGTAATTAACTAGGAAAATCTGTTACAAGATTTTAAATAATTCCAATTTCTTATAGTTGAGTTTATTGCTAGATCTAGTTATTTTGATATTTTTTCGAAGTAGATAGATCTTATCTTCTTTCTGCAGAATTAATTCTTCAATCCTTTTGGAATTTGCATATTGTATTATTCGTTTCTAAACAAATTATAGTTCTGATCGGAATTTCTTCTAAACTTTCTTAATCTTTCTAATCCTCTTATCTGCAGCTTCTACATTCGCTTCTAGTAATGCCTTGTAATAAGCTGTTGGATTATATCTGTAAAGTATAAAGAATAGTAATTTCTTTATTATACTTATATCTGCACTATTATAAGCGAACTATGCAAGAAATAATAGATTAATTCAGTTATTCTATTCCTGATTAATATAGTATTAAAAATACTATTCAATAATCTGATTTATTCTTTCTATTTATTCATCTGTTTGCAAGTAAAATGCTATAGATATTCTATAGTATGTTTTGAGCTGTTTCATAAGTAAAGTTTAAAACTTTAAGTTGAATTTTCTATTTCTATTGAAGATTACTTCTTCTAATATGCTGTAATTAGCAATGATTATTCTGAGGAATATATATGCAAGTTCCTCTGCTATATTGCTTTTCTTATAGAAAAGAAAATAAGCATACTTACTTAGTTTGCAAATCATTACTAGAATGCTATTATATTATATCTTAGTTAAGAGTTCTTATAAGAGAAATAGCTTAATAATGAAATCTAAACTAATAAATTGCTAAATAATTATAAATACTAATAAGGAATGCAGTAGTTCATAAAGCTTATATCTTTTTACTTTATTCTTTTTGCAGCTATTGCATTATTATAGAATATTCTCAATTCTTTTCCTAAGATCTAGTAGATTCCAGTATTTTTTAATGCATTTATAAATTACTTTAACTTTCTAATGCTTATATGCTGATATACTGTATACATTCTTGATATAGTTATTTTATTTGTTCAGAATTATTAATTCTGAATCTCTTTCCAAAGATTCGATTCTAAGAGCAGCGTTTAGTTCTCTATGTACATTAATAAGATTTCCCAACTTGTTTTGAGCGAAGATGTTCTGTATATCTAAGAAATCTGCATCTTGATAGTCTGATCTTCTGCTAAGAGTATTTGCTTGTTCGTTTTCTGAGCTTTTGCAGTATATAATCTTGAAGTTGAATTATAAAAGGAATTCTGCTCATCTGATTTATTGCTTATTCAAAACTTTAGTTATTATAAATATAATCAGATTCTTGTAATCTGAGTAAACTATAATCGGATGCTATATGCTAATAAGATAGTATTGCTACTTCTTGAAAGCTTTTATTATTGCTATAAGCTTCTGATCAGGGATTTTATAGTTGATTTCTAAGCTATTTAACTTCTTTGAAAAGTTGCTTATAATCCTTAGATATTCTTGGTTATCTTGCTAGCTAAGTTGTTCTTCAAGTATATATTCCAATGCATTAATCTCAATTTCAAAGAATTTGTAGAAATCTGCTTTATATAGAACTAGCTTTGAAATAATATGCTTGATAATCTTATTAAAAGCTTCTTATATTTTGAAGATTCATTTGAAGGATTAATCTCTTTTAGTAAGATTTATAAGAGAATATGCAATTCAGCTATAGTTTTTAATGAACTGTTTATAGAAATTGATATATTCGAGAAAAGACTTAATATTTCTAATATTTCTGAGAATTAGCTAATTTTTAATAGCTTTTACTTTATCTTTCTATAGCTTGATGCATTCTAGCTCAATTATGAATCCGAGATAGTTAACTTTTTATATGTGAAAGTAGCTCTTTGCAGGTTCTATAAGAAGCTTTGCATCTTGAAGCATTTGCAATACTGTTTTCATATATTTCTTATATTCTTTAAGTATTCGAAAATAGATAAGAATGTTGTTAAGATAAGCAATAATGAACTGATCTAAATGCTTGCATAGAATATAATTAATTATTTTCTGAAATAAAGTTGGAGTATTTGTTAGACTAAAAAGCATAATCAAATATTTATAGTATTTATAGTATATTCTGAAAGCAGTTTTCTATTCTTCTTCTTTCTTTATTCTAATCAGATTATAAGCTCCTTTCAGATTCAGAACTGTGAATTACTATGCTTCTTGCAATCTGTTTTATAATTCCTTGATAAGTAGCAATAGATATTAGTTCTTAATTGTAATATTATTGAGTTATCTGTAATTAATGCATAGCTTAAGCTTGCTATTCTTCTTGAGCATGAACAGAATGGAATATTCTGCTAGTAATTACAATAGTTGTATATATTCTTTCTTAAGATTCTTATCGAGATACTTCTTTAGTGCTTCTAGTTATGCTTTATCTAATCTGTAAATAGGGAAGAATTTGAGTTGTTTCTCTTCTTGTAGCAGAATCTCGTAATTATATGAGCTGTATTCTAGTAATCTCATATCCAATTCTTTCTGAAATAGTTTCTTGAACTTATAGTATTCTTATAATATATTTGCAAGTATTGGTTCTAGTTCTTGTACTGTTTCTGCTATCTGGAGGAATAGTAGGTATTATTAAGCATACTTCTTTTCTAATAGCATTTTTAAGAGCCTTAAGCATTCGCTCCAAGCTGAACCGAGCGCTTAAGAGCCTGGTTTCGAGATTTTTCTTATATAGTTCTACAATTCATATTCTGAAGCTTTTCCTTATTGCTCTGAAGCGAACTGACTTGCTAAGAATCTCGCTTTCATTATTTTGCTAATCTGCTAACGCTCTAGTACTGTTTGAGTTCGCTTATTGCTAGATTCTTCTTCTTGAACTGCTAGCTCTGCTGGTTTGGAGATATATAGGAAGTTATATAAAGCTTCTTTTCCTGAGTATTCTTCAATCACTAGCTTCGATTCTGCATTGTTAATTGTAACTATTTCTCTGAGTATAGCTTGTTCTTATGAGATTTGGCTAGTAGTTCAATCAATTCGAGAATTATACTTCTTAAGCTATAGAAGTTCTATAATCAGCTTATACTATACTATATTCATGATATCAAAAGAAGCTCTGATTATACATTCTTGAATCAAGATAGATAGATAATCAGTCTTCTTATTGATTACTTCTTAGTTGTATACAATAGATTATTCTTTTATAATGCTGAGAGTATATGAGCATTTCTTCTATTTCCATTGTAGTTGTATCCGATTGATGATGTATGAGGATATGAAGTTTCTCTAAGCATTACTGTTCAATAGTGTGCTGTACTTGTATCTTTAAATGTATATATCAAACTTAATATAAGCATAATCTATCTTAAAAGCTTCATATAAGGATTATTTCAGTCTAATCATCTGCAGTTTCTTTATAGATAATTCTATTCTTTTGAATTTATTAAGAACTACTTATTCTTCTAAGCTTGCTTTGCTGCTTCTCAAGCAAGCTTCTTAGCTTATTCTTGCTCATATTATCATTATTCCTAGTCTTTTTTTTGTTAATGCTAGTTGCAAACTTTGTTATTAATATAAATTGTACAGAATATTGTTTTATATTGCTATTATTTTATCTTCTTGTTTATATATTGCATGGAATAATTGTTTGGTAGCTTAATATATATATTGTAATGCTATTTGTTGAGAATCTCTCTGAAGCAGAGTTTCTATTCTTTAACAGCCTAAAGGATTTGTTCTAGTTCTCTAATAGAGAACTATTCGTATTGCATTTTGTTTGAGAAATGCGTTTTGCAGCTATAATAGATGCAGGAAATTCAAGCTAATTCGTAATGTAGGTTGTAAAGTAAGCTAATCCAAGGATTCTTATCTTCTTATGCTTCGATATTCTGCAAGGAAATATAGATGAAGAGCTCTTTCAGCTCTATTCTATAGATAAGATATTCGATTCATATTATTTCCTTGTTTCATCCAATGCTGAAGAGAAATCTTTCTTTAGGCTTATTAAGCATGTTGTTTGTAGGGAGTTTCTGCAAGCTGCTAGGTTGCTTGCTCTAGCTTAATTCTTCTGTTGCTTGAGAAGCATTCTTTATATTACTTAAATGTTTGTATTAGTAGCTAAGAAGATATTATCTCTTATTTATATTCCTAGTTATAGTGCTTGGCATAAGTGATAAAGAATGTTGAAGAATATTGTTGCTAAGCTCTTCTTCCAATGCCTGAATGCTCTGTTCTGCGATGTTAGAGCAATTCAAGCTATTACTTGTAAGGATGCTGAGCATGCACTCTTGTTCTGCTATTGCTATTTGTCTGCAGCATCTAGGTTTTTAAGAGAACTATTCTAAATCTTCCTTATTCGAGAGATATATTAAGCAGTTATTATTATAGCAGAATATTCAGCTAAGACTTCCATGATTAATAGAATCTAATACTTGCTCCGAAAGAGTATTTTTGCTTAGTTAATTGAATTCCTATTATCAAGCAATATTCATCTAGCGTTCTTTCTAAACTGATTGCTATTTATTCTTCTGAAATTGATAGCAATTGCATGCAATATATTCTTATTTGTTATAATTATAGCAAGTAATACTATTCCTTTTATTATATTGTTTATTAGCAGTATTGAGTTTTATAGAACTAGTATGTATAATGCTGCTTTAAGCTATACTGCTATATCAATTATTATTCTTATTTTAGAATTTCTTGCTTGTATTAGCTAAAAATCTTCAAATCTAGCTTTCTTCCTTCTTGAACTTCTTCACTTGTTATTTATACAGATAGTTGTTGATACAGATAGCTTGATTGAAGAACGTTGCAAAGTTCTCCAGCCAATTCTGCTTAGAGATTTCATCTTTAATATTATTCTTAAGTTCCTTATAATAGTATTCTATAAGATTCTTATCTTTCTATAAGAATTGCGCTAAGAGTTGCTTGAATCTGACTGTATAAGCAGAAGCTGATTTGATCTGCTTGAAGTTTATAAGCTGCTAAGCTATAATGCATTCTTCATTAGAGTTACTAAAGATTTCTTTGAGAGCTTTTTCGAAGCTCTTAAAGAAATTGAATATATTCTTAATACTCTAAGTATATATATTGAAGTTATTCTGATGCTTTAAGTAGTTGTATAGAGAAAGCTTGTATTAAATAAGAGTATCTTTTTCGAGATGAGTTTCTATAAGAATAACTTTCTCAGATTTCTTAGTAAACTGAGCTTTGTAGTGCAGAAAATATATTCTGCAGTG